TCGTCTATCCTCAAAGATAAAGTGCAAATAAAACTACATTTTTTTTAATCAATTATTATTCTATTATGGTTATTTATACATTTACAACTACAAAATGCATTTTTCAGTGTTTTCCTTACTATAGTTATTTTTTTAATGTACTACTTAGCTTTAATTTGAGTGTGTTTTTCATGTTGGAACGAATTATTTGATTTTACGTGTAATCATATGGGAAAAAATGATTCACCTTACAACATTTTCATGATACAATCTCAGTTTCGGAACAGATTAATTTCGTATCCTGAGGTACCACTGTATTTGAATTAAATATATTTAAAGTAAAATTTGAAAATATTTTTATAAAAAAAAATGAAGGTAACATTTAACTGTTTTAATAAACATTAAAAAAATTAAATTTATTAGTATTATTAGAATTAGCTCCATATTTTATTAATATCCATAATTAACAGTGCAATTAATTATGATATATGAAACATGGAATGTAGAAATTTATCCACATTTTCTTTTAATTGGAAATAGAAAATATGTCAGAAGTAATGCACAAGTGTTAGACAAAGCTATTCTATTATTGTTTTCTGTTCTGTTTTTGATTTTAATGGGAGGAGTGTTTATTCATCTAATATCATGATAAACATATTAGATGAATAAACACTCCTCAACTCCTCATATTAAATATTTGAATCATTTTTAGAACAAAAAATAATTCAAAATTTTTGTTTTGTTTTTTTTTGGTGTAAAAAAAGTACTGTAACCTTAAAAAAGTACAAAATAAAAATAAACAAAAATTTTGAATTATTTTTTGTTCTAAAAAAACCAAGTCTATGACACTAAAATGGCAGTTTACATTTGATAGAACATGTATCCAAGATAGTATTCAAAAGCAGACTGGAAAAAATCCTTGATTTGTGACCATGACATTGAAAAATGTGAACGAGGGAGTTCATTTTCCAAAAAAATAGAAAATGTCCAATACCTCAAAAACTATGACACTTTTACTAAACACAATGTTTAATTTTCTGAACAGTCATGATGTCCCCTATCCAAAGGTAACATATTATCCATTCTTTACGCCACACCCTGTATATTCAAAAAATAGTAATGAATTCATAAATCTGTAATCCATTTACAAATCAGAACTTATGTTGAAAAATACTATTAGTTTTTATAAATATATAAACATGTATTCTGATATTTTAAATTCTTATTTTAATTAATTTTAAAATTAACCATAATTTATATATAGAGTTCCACAAATTCAACTTAATGTGAACTGAGAAGGTGAGGAGTTATCAAAAATGACAAGTTTTATAGATAGCAATGATTCTAGTCTAAATAGAATTTTTGTAAAGGTATTACATGTGCAAATTCATATACATATTAACAACATACCAACCATGGCTATTTTTATTTTCAGTTAAATTTTAATTTAAAAGATATTGGCTATTCAGTGGCTGCTTTTGAGTCAGTGACATTTATGTTGTAGCCTTTTGCAGTAGCACTTTTGAAAAAGAGTCATATTTTTTATTAACACTTGGAATTGATGCTATTATCAACCGTTGCCAGTGAACAATGATAGCTAATTTGATCCTAGTGTTAACTTATACAAGTAAAAATTAGAGTATATGCATTTTTATCGACAACATGACAAGTTTTACAGAATATTGAGTTATCAAGAGTCATGTTTCCATGACTACTGTACTACTAAAAATGTAACAAGTGAGATTGATTGGTTGGTTGATTATAATTAAATATAGAAAAAACAGCACAAAACACCACCACATTTTTAAAATTCTATACCCCAAATGAGAACAGAAACAAACTAAAACAAGTTTTGTTAAAATCAGGACATGGATTATCAAGTTATTGCTGTGTTTTCTGCCAGTGACATCATTCTGTATGACATCACTTTTTAAAGTTGTCGATTACTGTCTTATAACTACACTTAAATCATCTGCTGGGTTAATTTCAATGCAATATTGAAATTATTTTGCATTCTCTATAACTTTTGCTTACTAGACATAGACAACCCAGTGGAGGTCACGGGTATAGTAGTACATAACTAAAAATTTAGTTATAACTTAGGTAGATAATGCAAGATAGATTATAATACTTATTATAATATTTATTATTATGAATATAAAATAAAATGACTGTTTGTCTGTCTTCTATACACTTCTAAACCCTTTGACTGATACACACCTTTATTTTATCAACCTTCCTCGGGAAAAAATACAAATTGAATGTCGGTTGATTTCAAATAGAACAAAAATTTCTAAAACATTCTAACATAAGTATTTCAAATATTAATAGCAGGTCCTTTAAAGTTATGAATAGATGAAAATATAGATATGTGTGTAAAACATATATAAAAATAATAATAAAAATATAAAAACAAATAATAATAGCTGAGTACAAGTGTTATCTCCAATGTGCATGTTATGAATTCATATAGTGCCACTTGATGTATGTTTCAAAATGGCTCACCACACCATAAGTTAAAGCATCAGATCTTACATTGTCCTATGGTAGGGGTCGGCAGTTTGTCAAGTGAGAAGAGCCAAATTGTCATGAAAACAGGATAACAAAAGTACCAGAGAGCCGCATGTTAATTTAAATGTGCAAAATACGACACACGACAGGGGCGCCTCTAGTGGCCGTTTTCGGCATAACGTTACACGGATGGATGGACACGCGTTCGATGGGTTATATATATAGATATGCTTCAAATGCTACCACTCTTATGCGACTCATATTGATCAACGCAAGTGTGGTCATGTGCGGAAGGAGAACAAGTCGAAGTTTGTTCAGCGGCTCTATCTCATAAACTCATAAGTTATAAGGCTGCGGTGAAATGAAGTGAAATGAAATTGGAGTTTATGTCCGAAGAGCCGCATGCGGCTTGCGAGCTGCTAATTCAGATTCCTGTCCTATTGGACTGAGGTTTGAGTCTGAGATGATCCAAGGTTTATTACAAGAGAAAACTTATACAGTGATACCCCGAACTTACGCGATAGGTGGGACCGAGTGATAACCGCGTAAGTCGAATTCACGTAAGTTGGGGTATAATTTCGCAATTTGTGTAAAATCCAAGTCAGATGTATGTAAGCTAATAAATGTCCTTGTTAATCTTATCTCGTCTTTTGATTCATCCACGGTTACAAGAAATCACCACATAGAGTCTCTCAAGTCTCCGTAGATATAACAAACACAGAAATAAATAACACAAAATAAATTGTAGCTACGTGTCGATTCCGCATGACACATCCGAACATGTAAGCTGAACAATAGCGTGGGGGGGGGTTAGTAATCAAGAGCTGTGTTGCGCTCAAACAAAAGACGCATCAACGAGATTTGAAAATAACTCCGGGTTCACGTAAGTCGGGGTAGCGTAAGTCGAGGTATTACTGTAAAGCAAGATATGTGAAGGCATTATACATCAATAAAGTGCTCCTATTATCCAATAAAGTGCTTCTATTCTTTATAAATTTTAAGTAGTAAGTGACCCAATGGGTCATGGATGGTCTAACATTTTATTAGCACAGATACTTACTGACATCAAATTCATGTAGCACAACATATTCAGTACATCCAGATAATCCATAATCAAGAGGAACAATTCCTAAAAAAATTTGTAATTGTAAATAAAACATAATTTCTATTATATAAATTTAAAATTTTGATGAATGAAACATTTAATCTTCAAATAAGTAAATTATTTCTAATTCTGATAACTATTCCAATAATTATGCATTATATAGCTTATATTACAATCATGAATATATTGTATGTCTGCGCAGATAAGACGACAGTTGAATCATAAAAAAGGTCCCCAAAATCAGAGTTCATTTTATAGGACAGATACAAAAAAAAAAAAATTAGATGAAAAAAACGATCAAACCATAATTATTTATTAGTAGAGAGTAGGGTATGTTCATACTAGTTGAGAGTAGGGTATGTCCACAAAATAGAATAGCACATACGATGGTTTTATGAATAGTCAAGGTCACCTGAATGCCTGAATCAGTGCAAATGTTTGCAACAATAGCAAGGTAGTGCTGCCAGATGCAAGAAANAGTTGAATCATAAAAAAGGTCCCCAAAATCAGAGTTCATTTTATAGGACAGATACAAAAAAAAAAAAATTAGATGAAATTTATATAAATTAAAACCATTATAAAAAAGTGGACAAACTGTAATTATTTACTAGTTGAGAGTAGGGTATGTCCACAAAATAGAATAGCACATACGATGGTTTTATGAATAGTCAAGGTCACTTGAATGCCTGAATCAGTGCAAATGTTTGCAACAATAGCAAGGTAGTGCTGCCAGATGCAAGAAAATAATTCTGTATACACTATACAGTGTTATTATCCAGATGACTCCAGATGATGATCGCTGATCTAAACTAAATTCATAGATCATTGATAGTTTTCGTCTTATAGGACAGGATAGGTTGTCTTATAGGACAGATATATGCTAAAATTATAAAACTTTGACAAAAATTTATACTTCATCTTATCTGTGCAGATATACAGTAATTAGATTTTATTGTTTTAATCCAATCTCACATCAAAACAGTGTCATATGGACCTTTATTGCAGAAAGGTGCCCATGCCTGAGTTAATGTGAACTTTAACTTATTTAATAATTTGAGCTGCTTTTGGTAACTTTTTATTATTTTCTTTGAAAAAAAGATGAGCAGTTTATTATATTCTTAAATAAAAGAGGAGCAAAGTTTTAAAAACAACACATTTATTTCAATTTGGAATTTATTACTTTTTGCTATTTTGCATTTTAATTTTTCCATGGATTATATGTCTTGGGAAACATTAGTTTTATAATATCAACAATAGTATTAAATAATTCTATTCAAACTATAAATCTTTCATTTTAGTTAATAATAAAATTGTATGGAAGAAGTTCATTAATTTAAAATTTGATAATCCAGCACCATCTGAAAAGAAGTCAATAATTTAAAATTGTCTGATGATAATCTGACATGCTAGTATTCTGCAAATCAGAATTTGTTTAGACACATAATGTGGTAAAGATCCAAGATTGGAAACTGAGGGCAACAAAAGTGAGGGATATAGCCTGCATGTTTTCTACATGACGGAAAGTTGACTGTGAGACAGAATGATGTAAGTGAGAAAAATTACTCATTTTGTTGCAGCTTTTGTCTTTCAGGTCAAATACTTTCACTGGTGTTTTCCTGTGCTAATATATGTTTATTTTATATCACAATCACCAAGCAAGTTGGTTCAAACATCTTTCAGGCTGGACTTAAAAGTATTACCTAATGTTCACAGGTTTCAAGAATAGTGTGATAAGTCCTTATTCCTATCTCACATTAGTAGGTTTTTAATGAATTTAAGAATTTAATCGTTATTTTGTCTACACAGCATTCATAAAAGAAGCCTCTTTGAGAAAAATGCCAATCTTACAAAAGGTATAGGAATTTCTGCAATACTCAACCAAATGATTGTTTTAATTAATTGGGTTATAAATTTGCTAATATTAATGATTAGATATTAAGTAATTTTGTACTAGAGATACATATTAGGTGCCTTCTTTTATCAAAATTAATAATTATAATTAATAAATTATTAATTTAGATAAAAGATGGCACCTAACGTCTTAAATTTAGTTTTTCAAATAATTACATTTAATAAGTAAACAGTAACTAAAATACACAAATTGCATTTATTTATATATTTTTTAAAAAAGACTGAATATATTAAATTAGATAAAATTAAATTTATAATCAGATCAACAGATTTAAAAGGTTATGCCAAAAATTTAAAAAAAAATCTATTAAATCAACATTTTTACTTTAACTAAATGTCATTCATTCACTATTTTTTTCAAGAATATAAGTCAATGTAGAAAAGAAATAAGCCAAATAAACTACAAGTTACAATGAAGCAATTAAATTACTGATTTTTAAAACAGCAATATTACTATTTTAATTCTTAAATAATTAATTACAACTTAGGAATTAGAGATTAAAATTAGAATGGATTTGCATAATTTTCACATTAAAAATTTCTATTCATTAATATTCAATTATATTTTCAGAGTTTCAGATATACAAACCTACGACTTCATCACCCGGCTTCAGTGTTGTGACTGCATTACCAACTTCACGAACAATTCCAGATATATCCTGTCCTACTGGATATTTCACTATTTTTGAATCTCTGTATAATACTTGTAAGACCTGAAAAAATTAAGTATCACAATTTGTTATAATTCTTTAAATATAAAAAAAATCTATCATCTATTTCATAGTTTTCATCAAAACTAAAACATCTACACTTATTTTTATTTAGAATCATGTAAAAGTTTCATAAAATCCACAGAATTTTACTATCCAAATATTAAATTCATATTTCTTAATAAAAAATAAAATATTTTATTATTAACATTTTTCTCAGAAAATCTTATGACACTTATTAAATAATTTGGCACCAAAGATAAATACATGCATATATCAAAAGTGTGACAAAACAAAAGAATCACAAAGTAGGGAAGAGTTTGAAAGGAGTGGCACATATATCATAATGAAGAAGTGACATATTATGAGTATTAATCTTGATTAAATATATGAAATGATAATTATGAAATATAATTAAATATTCTGAATTTTCTGATGGTTTAGCTGTTTTATATGTTGATTTAGTGAACGTCTCTTCAATCCGAAAAAATCTTTCCGGCAGACTACCTCACAGCCAATTCAGGTTATAAACTCCTTTTATTATTTTTTACAGGTGCATTTCGAGCTAGGTTAATTTACTAGCTCCTCCTCAGTGCTTAAAAGTTCCATGAGTTTCATATGATCTAATTTTCACACTTATACGGTACTTTTAGTCCCGTTTACAATATTTTTACTATCTTATAAAATTACTCAAAGGGCTTGTACCGTTGTATTGTAAAAATGGCACTGGTTGCTACTGATTTCTTTCTAATTAAATTACTTTAAGAACTTTATGATGTTCATAGTGATTATACATTGTCACGTAAAAAATTTTGTTGTATTCTTAATAGTTTTTTAAAAAAGTTGTATAATGTATACTGTCAAAATTTCTGAAAGATAATATGCTTTTAATTGGAAAGAAATCTTGTAACAAGCAGTACATTTTTATGATGTAACAAGATACAAGTTCTTAAAGTAATTTAATTAGAAAGAAATCAGTAGCAACCAGTGCCATTTTTACAATATAACAATACAAGCCCTTTGAGTAATTTTATAAGATAGTAAAAATATTGTAAACGGGACTAAAAGTACCGTATAAGTGTGAAAATTAGATCATATGAAACTCATGGAACTCTTAAGCACTGAGGAGGAGCTAGTAAATTAACCTAGCTCGAAATGCACCTGTAAAAAACAATAAAAGGAGTTTATAACCTGAATTGGCTGTGAGGTAGTCTGCCGGAAAGATTTTTTTGGATTGAAGAGACGTTCACTAAATCAATAATTAAATATATTCACTTACTCACTTGATAGCAAAATGAGTTCAATATGTTTTAAGTTTTCACGCCATACTTATACAAATTAACTATATATATAGTTGATGTTTACAGATCATAGAGTACTCTGCACATTTGCTCTGATTCATTAACTAATTCCTGCCATGCAGCCAGGTGCTGCATGGCAGGAAACACTGCTAAACAGTGCAGTGCTATCTCAAGCATTTCAGTGAATCACAAAATGCAGTGACCAAACAAATAGTAATGTTGGGTGGGAGGTATAAGAGATGGCACTAAATGTTTAACAATGCTGTCACAGGAGACAGATAACTGCCCTAATAAAATCATTTTTCTTTCTGTTACTGTTTTTATTATTGATAGTTTTAATAAAAACATTACTTTTAAGTTTGTACTTTTTATTTCATAGTAATTTATACAATTACTGATATGAAAATTGAAACATTATTTTGTGATTTTATTTTTTCCTTTGAAGTGTTGCAATTCTGCAGTGCTTATCACAAGTCACCAATGGTAAAAAATATTCTATTTTTTTGTGTTGAAGGGTTAGAGTGATCTAAATTAGGCTGAAAATGTTTATTATTTTGGTTATCTAAATTTAGCAGTTTTGTGAATTAACTAACTAAAATTTGCATACATTTAAATAAAAAATTTTTAAATTTCTATTTTATAAAATGTAAACTTACTTTGTCATCCACTTCAGATAATGCACATGCTTTCACTTGAACTAGAACTGAATATCTTGTCATTAAAGGTAATTCAGCCTAAAAATAAATATAGATAGATGTAGCATACCATCACATTAAGAAGATATATGTACTGATAATCAGTATCAGCCATTACCAATCACATTTTACTAACCAATAATTAAATAGTTAACTGAAAAACTCATCTAATTATTGTTTACAATCATTAAGTTTTGATTGACAATTAAAATTAAACACTAAGAATGTAAATATTAAACAGAAAATTGAAACTGAAATTAAAAAATTCAGTTAATTAAAAAGAAAAATGTCATTTAGTAAATAATTAAAAGAAAATTTACATATCAATAATAACTGCTACTATCAGTTTGAAAACTAAACCAATTATAAATAAATTACTATATATTGATTTTTTCATTATTGTAAGTTTATTTAATAGTTATAGGAAATAATTTTTAAAATATCTTGAGAATTAAAAACACATTTTACTTCTCATGTCTGATCATGGATCATAAATAAATTTACAAGTTCTAAAGATAAAACACACTTCTGTGGAAAAAAAATCAGCTTATTATTATTCCTTTAAGGAAAACAATTTTTTGATTTTGAAATATCAAACAGAATTTTTTTTAACTTTTCTAAAATATACATTTACACAAAATTATGAATAAACTTAAGAAATAAAACAGTATTAAAATTATAATTCTTTTGAAATATACATATAATACTTGATTAATTACAATTAAAAAAAAAGAAAAAACTGCTTTAGTGGCTTTACTGAACACTGTTTTATTGCTTCGTATTTCAAAAAACTAACACTTGGATTTAATGCAATCTAACTTCAAAGCAAGTGTGACAGATGATAGATGCATTAAACGTATATTTGGATCAATTAATCGACTTTTATGTATAATCCGTATCTATTTTTGTAATTCAGCTTTTAATCAATGTTTATTATAAGCATATAATCTACAGATCACATAGTTACAAATATCAATAAACTTTCCCATTATTAACTTTAATTTTCCCTATTATTATTATTTTATTTTTTTTTTGTTTTGGATCTATCAAAATGAAATGATTGAAAACCATACGATATAAATGAAACAGAATTACTTTCAAATCAAGTGACCTTTAGTAATGGTTATAAAAGTTTATAGTTAAGCTTCCAATTCATTTTGTAATATTTTTGATATTCGATTATACATTCTCCCTTATCCAAAAAAACACTGGCATTTTAGTTTTGCAATTTTCGTCACTATTAGATAGATAATTAGCATTTAACATCTTTTTGAACTTTACAAATAATTTTATAAGCTCAAAAGTACTAGTAAAATTATTTCTTACTTATTAATATTCTGAATGAAATAATAATAGTTTTTAATTATTAGATTAAACAAATTATTAACATGGTTCTGCCTGAAGATGACATTTATAAATTTGTCGAAAGCACTCACAAAATATTAAAACGTTTTTAAAAATGTTCTTTAATGCCTTTTTATGTGAATTTTTCTCTTAAATCAGTAAAATTGTTGGCGTGACATCCACTCTACATTTTTAAGGTATTGATAGTAAAGAATGTTTGAGAATTTTCACACAAACAAAAACTGGCAAAATACGTTAAGCAGCATTTTTAAGAATATATTAGTAAACAATAATGGTATAATGATTTTAAATTGCAGAAAGCCAATATCTACAAAGTATTTCTGCAATGAATTCAAAATTCAGTACAGAAATAAATTGAATAAAATTAAACATTAAATATTTACAAATGCACAATCAAATCTTGAAGATTCTAAATGTGATGATTTTATCTAAATCAAAAAATTACTAAGTGAAGATTCCTAGTCTCTGTCCTCGGTCTCCTCAAGCAGCTTTCCTGAGTAGCATGGCCCAAGATATTCCAGATGTACAATAGGTTCATAGAAAATACAACTCTACATTCAACTTGTTCAATATATATAGTTTATTTACAAAAGAATACAGTTTATCAAGGTACCTCACCATAAAGATTGACACAACAACAACCAAGGACAAGTTGGAATAATCAGGGATGTCCATTCAATAATTTCTGTATTGTTTAAGGTTTTATCTGCACTTTTGTCTGATCACAGACCTCGCCATCCTAAACATCCCTTCCAAAGGAGTGTAGCCTCTCTCCGTATCATCAGCAGGCTTGCCAAGTATCTGAGATCTAAGTGTTATCAGTAGTGAGCCTTACCCTCCACCCATTTTCCCCAGTCTTCTCTCCCTATTTAAAGGTTTATTGGGAGCCAACTTCCAACCAATCAGAAGGATGGTTGCACATGGAACTTTCCTTTACATTCATGCTGACCCAAATGTGGGTGGTCATTCTCTCCTTTGTTTACTCGCTGTTGTTCACATACCATGGCAAATGATTTTATGACTTGACTGCACCTGGCTCCAATTTAACTAATCATAGATTGCTTTGTTTTTCTCCTAAACTAATACATTAATACTACTACACAAACTTTACTTCATTTTAATTATTTTATTACTTAAAATTGGATCTAAGAACATCTCAAAGCCTGATGTTCCTTAAAAAGAAGCCAATTGATCACCATATTGAATTGGGCTCTTTTACCGCTGCTATTAATAATTAATTTCTAATTATTTATTTATAATAGTGATCTAAACATATTAATAATTAATTAAGAAATAAATTATTAATAGTAGTAGTGTGTGTAGCCAATAAATATGATATTTATATCAACATCCTGAAGACCAATATATTTATACTAATCCAAATTCTTGCTGTAATTAATTGAGCTATTATTATGCTATAATTAATAATTAGAAATTATTCATTTCTAATTATTAATTATAGCATAATAATAGCTCAATAATAAATTATTTTTTAGCAAAATCTCATAACAGATGGTACCACAGACAATTTTAATTTTGTGCTAATATGTCAATGTTTTTACCAGGAACTCAACTCATTGCTGCATTTTTTAAAGGATCTTGAAAGTATAACAATAAATTAAATTCATATTTGCAATGTTTATTATATATCCATATTGATATTATATATTATATCAATATATTCCAGATATACTGTCTCAAATAACTAGAAAATAATGATAAACATACAACAAAAAACTGAAAATTCAGCACAAAATCTTTAGTTTTGTGTTGAATTTTCAGCTTTTGGGCTGCAATTTGAAAAAATTGTAGACCTATAAATTCCCACTGTCATCTATCCATCCATCTTTCCTTAATTAAACTTGAGAATGGAGCTAGATAGATGAAAGATGAGACCAGATATGGAAAGCTTACAGACAGGAGGTCATGATTAACTATATACAAATTTACAATGCAAACCAGAAGTCACGTTATTTCAATTCAAAACTTTTCCCCTGAAAGGAGTTAATAGATAACTGGCATGACTATTGCTAACAGGAAAAGTATGATGTACAGGGGAAAACACCACTAATTTAAAGTGGAAAGCACATATTTTAAATTAAATAAAAAAAATATGATCAAAAATTGCAGCTCTGCATTATGACAATGTAACAATAAATAATTGCTCATTTGTTGTATGTTTATTCCAAATATTTTTAAAAGAATGATTTCAGTGTACAGATTATAAATAAGAATTATATACAGTATATCTAGATTAGTAGTTTTCAAACGTTTTCAGTCCATTTAGCTTTTCATAAAAATAGAAAATTCATATATACCTAAACATCCAGAAATTAAAACTAATTCAAGAATGTCAAATATTTTCAATGGTTGTCTCATAATCACTAACTTATAATTGTTAAATTTGCAATTTAAAGTACTACATCACTTAATTTAGTAATACAGACATGAGGTTGACTGATAGAAAAATAAAAAATGAAAAAATTGAACTCAGACCTTCAGAAAAACAAAAAAATAGTCTATAAAAAATTACAGTTAGCAGCTTTTATGGACTTAATTCTAGAAAATTTTGAATTGCCCAGGTATAAGTGTCTATCAAATTAAAAAATATTGCTGATTTAAATTACATTTGGCAGTCTTTACACTTTATGTGTACCTTTTGGAAGTAGTTCACATATTATCCAGGTTGGAAAATGTTGATCTACAGTAATCAGAGCTTTTAAAGCAGGGGGCTAAGGGATGGCCATGGGAACCAGAAACAAAAGCAACATTTTCGTTACATAAAATTGCTTTAGGTGCAATATGATGATAATATATAATATGAAAAAATTAAAAACAAAAAATGATTATGTGGTAGAAATAAATAATGCATAGAAGAAAATTCAATGGAACAGGAGTCGGATGTCACAGGGTATACTGTACACAGTAGAGTGCAAATTATCAGTTGTTCTTAGGAGGCTACAGCTAGAGAAAAGTTTAAGAGCCACTGATAAAAGTAACTATTATTTCTGTTGAATAGAAAGACTTGAAACTAAGAAAAGGATAAACTAGCCACCATAGTTAATCTCAGGACTGTGGAATATTTTTAGGACCAAAAAATTTTCCCAAAAAGTATTCCAAATTAGCACACAAAATAAAACATTTTATGAACAAATTAATAATTATTACTATGTAGTTTTGAAATTTCAGATTAAATCATATAAATAACTAAACTGTCCTATCTATAACTTTCCATGCAATACTAAAGTGATAAATTAACTTAAAGATTTTTTTAAATTAAAATGCTTTAATTTAAGCATATATTATAATAATAGGATAGCATATACAATTCATAAAACTTAAAGTAATACATTAATTAATGGAAATAAAATTGAGGTCAATTAGTGACCTAATTTTATTGCAAGGAGCTAAATAACAGACATTTTAGTCCATTGCAAATTTCTTTTACAATGGCAATGGTCAAGCAATTTTTTTCTTTTCAAAAATTATTTAAGACACACAAAAAGATAACTTTTTAGAATTTTTGACTGGCTTTATCATTATTGTATTTTTTGAAAATGCAATAATTTTTTATGTGCATTAACATAAAAATTGATACATTCAATAGTTAAGATACTAAACAAGGATTTATTGTTTTAAAAGTACATTATATTGATATTTTATTTTGATTTTCA